TTCAAAAAACTGTTCATTTTTGTCTTGTACAAATGATTTAAGATTGCAGTATTGGGTCAAATAATTGCACATCATCTAGAATAATACCCTTCTCTTTAAGATACAATATGCATGCCAAATGGTCATCAAATTTACAGTCTTTGATTTTATCTAAGTACATCCAATCAAAGCATTGAAATTCATCAAAAGGTTTCAACCAATTTACTAAGTAACTAATGCATGCTTCATACACCAACTTAACATCTGCCATAAAATTATTATACTCTTCTTTTTTACCAAAATTATTATACTCTTCTTTTTGACCACTTTCCTAGAATGTTAGAATGACTAAAATCGACTAGTTCGCAGAAATGTATAGACTTTGTACATTGTAACAACGTAAACATACGATGTAATAGTTGTAACAACGATACATAAAAATTATAATATAAAATGTTATAAAAGCTGGACATTTTACAAGATTTTAGCTTGGTCTGCCGGACGGAGAATATTGAGCTAAAAAGGAGGACATGTCGTTAAATCTATTTTTATCTTTAATATTGTTATCTCTTAAAAGTGTTTTCCCCACGCCCACCATCCCCCACACAAAACTGTTTCAAATAACTACCACCAAAAGTTACGCCATATCAGTAATTTAGTTTAGGGATTCGATTCAAGTGCCGGTATCTCTGAATCGCGAAACAATACGTCATCATAATTACCATCAACGGCACTACAGCCCATGGAGGGCCCTGGCCTGCTACGCCCCCATCATTCCACTAAGGCCGATTCGTGGCATATCGTCTCGTTACACGACAGCCCCCACCTCCACCCACCGTCACGCCACTCAAGTGACTGTGAATCCAACCCCATATCATCACCTATTCATTAAAGCCCCCGCCTACCGATGAGCCGTCTGCTTCTTGGTTTCCGTCTGCAGACACATTATTTGTGGCCTCTGTTTTTTTCTGGCATCCTCTCAAGATGCCCTGTTCTTTTTTTAAATTGCCATGACTTAGATTGGTTCTTCTAGGGTATTTCTTGGTTTATCCCAAATTCCCTATTTCGCGGAATGCTGAAGACCTCGAATTTCGCGCCAGATACTTATTATCGGAGATTCGATCTATTAAAATTAGACGGTTTATCGCTTTATCAGTGTTAAGTATCAGTGGCGTAGGAAGGAGAAGTGGAAAGGTCGGTTCGCCCAGGGCCGGACTTTTCTTTCCTTTTATATTAAGGGTGCGAGGGGGGGGTAGCATTCTCGGCCAACTGCAGAGGCGTTGGTTTTATTTTTCTTTCCGTTGAAAGGGGGGGGGGCGAAATACTTACTTTTCCACCCTGGGCGGCACAACCCGAGCTGGTTTTTACATCGGTTTAAACAGGGTGCCGTATAGTGAATAATTTGCACTTAAATTATCATTTTCAAATTTTTTTTTTTTCAAGAGTGACCTTAAATCTCTAGTGCAGTGTTTCACAAACATTTTTTTTTTTTTTTTAATTTTTTTTTTTCAAATAAAAAGTTGTAAAGTCCAAAGCTTAGTGGAAAAGCTTTATACAAATAATACTCATAAAATGGACTCTAATAATTTGCCCTTAAATTATCATTTTCAAATTTTTTTTTTTTCAAGAGTGACCTTAAATCTCTAGTGCAGTGTTTCACAAACATTTTTTTTTTTTTTTTTAATTTTATTTTTGCAAATAAAAAGTTGTAAAGTCCAAAGCTTAGTGGAAAAGCTTTATACAAATAATACTCATAAAATGGACTCCATGTTGCCGCCAGGGAGACTGAACTTTACTGTCTTGGTGTGTTCAAACCTCGAGATTCAGCTGGGTCAGATAACATTTCCTGTAACTGATAGACATTTCCTGTAACTTATAGACATTTCCTGTAACTGATAGACATTTCCTGTAACTGATAGACATTTCCTGTAACTGATAGACATTTCCTGTAACTGATAGACATTTCCTGTAACTGATAGACATTTCCTGTAACTGATAGACATTTCCTGTAACTTATAGACATTTCCTGTAACTGATAGACATTTCCTGTAACTGATAGACATTTCTTTTAAAAATTAACAAGCAGTTACGGTAGACATTCTTTAAAAGCGTGTAAAAGTCTAAAACTGCCAGTCCCACCCCGTTTTTAAACATTAATACATTTCCAATATCAAAGACTAAATATCCACCCCTCCTCATAATCTTATAATTGCCCCCCCCCCCGGGCCCGGTTTAACCATTAGGCAAACTAGGCGGCCGCTTAGGGCGGCACATTTTTAAGGGGCGGCACTATTAATTAAATAATTAGTTGCCGTTGGCGTGGGGGGGGGCCGCAGTGCGACAGGTTCACCTAGGGTGCCAAATACTCTGGCGCCGGACCTGCCCCCACCCCTTCCCACGTGAAGCACACGCCAAACGCATGGAAACTGTTTCTGTTGGTAGAAAGAAAACTCAAGGGTGGGTTATAAAAACAAACAGTGCTAGTACTGGTTTTAACTTGTTTTGTTGCTGTCAAGTCCATTGCTGAAATTCAATGGAAAAAAGATACAAATCCATCGCTGTTTGCGTTGTCTGCTTGTAGGACCACCGAGGCCTTACTTCGACTGAGACAAGACTGCTTGTGAGACCACCGAGGCCTTACTTCGACAGAGACAAGACTGCTTGTAGGACCACCGAGCCCTTACTTCGACTGAGACAAGACTGCTTGTGGGACCACCAAGGCCTTACTTCGACTGAGACAAGACTCCTTGTAGGACCACCGAGCCCTTACTTCGACTGAGACAAGACTGCTTGTAGGACCACCGAGCCCATACTTCGACTGAGACAAGACTCCTTGTAGGACCACCGAGCCCCTACTTCGACTGAGACAAGACTCCTTGTAGCACCACCGAGCCCATACTTCGACTGAGATAAGACTCCTTGTAGGACCACCGAGCCCTTACTTCGACTGAGACAAGACTCCTTGTAGGACCACCGAGCCCATACTTCGACTGAGACAAGACTCCTTGTAGGACCACCGAGCCCATACTTCGACTGAGACAAGACTCCTTGTAGGACCACCGAGCCCTTACTTCGACTGAGACAAGACTCCTTGTAGGACCACCGAGCCCTTACTTCGACTGAGACAAGACTGCTTCCGTAAATTTAAACGAACGTTAGACCTGTTTTTCCGGGAACTCGGGGGGGGGGGGGGGGGGTCGGGGTCACGGCCATTATATTTATTCCAACAAAAATTCTAAACATCGCCCCCCCTCAATTCGCCACCCTCGGGATTTTCCCTGTTCGCGCCCCCCCCCCCCACCTAAATTCGACCCTCTTTCAAACAATACGGCGCCCTTTCTGTTAAACACAAAATAATTTTACACTAATAAACCCCCTGCGCCGACCTCTGACGCCTACTGCCTGAAGTAAAGATAATAAATTGAGTTGTGCACAGCGTCAGTAAAATTACCATAAATAAGAAGAGAAAACGTTTCTGGCAGCTCAATGCCGCAGGGAAAATTCATGCACACAAAAATAATATAAATAACAAAGCCAAAGCAAGAAAAAAAGTGGCGTCACCTGATAGCGACGTCATGTGAAATAGGTCGACCAAACAAACTGCATTGATTTGGAAGGTAATAATCATTACTCTACGATGGTCCGACCAGACCAGGCGCAGATCGCCTTAACACAAATCCCCCGTTTCATAACGGGGGACACGGCTGCGGGTGCACTGGTGCGCATCCGTGCGCAGAAACATGAGACACGAGAAAGCTTTTAGATGCTGGTAAGCAAGGGTGAGATTTTTCGTAGTTGGACACTTGAATGTTAGGGGACGCAACCCTTGATTAGTCATTAGTAGGCTACAAGTACCCAATTTGCATTTTTTTTTGTGGAGGATGGAGTAGGGGTGGGGGGGTGGGGGGATACCAATTGATAAACTTATTTGGAGAACAACCACTTGTTGATTTTTTGTAAAGATGTTGTAAAGAAATACCGTAATATTTTTAAAAAAGAACATGTCAGGTGTGTAGTTCAGACACATTAGAAAATAATTAAAACAGATCCCACTACTCAAAGTTTTGAATGTCCCCTCCACCCACCCTTCCTACGCCCTTGCAGACATTATGTCTTTAAATATCCACCGAAAAAGGCGTTTATTGAATTCCTTGTTTTTTTGTTTTTTTTCTAATCGACAGAGCCTACGACCAAGCTTTTGAATATTGACCATATCTGCCAGTGGTGTTATGCAGGATCAACCCATCAACCGGGACGAATATGCAATACATTGTTCATTTGGTGGATGAATACGGAAACGGATGCAGCGTAGCAGAGCGTTGTTAGAAACGGATGCAGTGTAGCGGGGTGTGGTAACATAACCACTTTGCGACGATGTATGAAGATCAAAAGCCAGGGGGTAGCCACAAGACCCCACGTCCTTACACATACCATTACGATGGGGCCATGTACGACGGTCCTGACCAGTATGTGAGTTTACTGATGACCACAGATGGCGTTCTGGAGAGTGAGATCTGTGACGGGGACTTTGAGGACCCAGCTTTAGAAAATGATGACCCATGTGATGTCATCGAAGACGATGTCGGCACGGACGTACGCAATGTGAGTGGGGGCGTCGCGGGCGCCAAAGTCCATTCTGAAACGGTGCACAACCCGACGGGCGCACCTGAGCCCCGTGGTTTCATTCAGGTGACTCACACGGCCAAGAACAAGCCGGATGCGAGAGTAACAGTTGCTCAATCGGTTCCCGAGCTGCTGGTGGCCCTTCCGTCGTTGGAGGAACCGTTTATTCAACCAGTGGCCTGCGAGGCAGATCTTTACGACAAGTGGGCGCGGTTGCCTCGCTCTGACATGGGAGCGCGCAGTCCCATCCGACCAATCACAGTCACGTCCAAGGGGTGGTCCATTTCCCAGACCACACCGCAGCCAGACGCGACCTCTGCTCAAACGCCGACCAAGATTAGTCCGCAAGTTAACGTTCCCCCGAATGAAGAGTGCAAGTCACTGGACAGCATTATCGACCACTACAATTACATGTTTCCTTCGTCTTTAGAGGGTAACCCCAAACCAAACGCGAAAGTCTTTGACGTGAAGTCGAGTCACAAGGAATCTAAATTTGCCCTCGAAGATTCCATTGAGAGTAGTTTGAAGATTACCAATGTGACTGGTGCGAAATCAAACTCGGTGGTCAAAACCAAAGCACCGACTCAGGCAACGAATCCTCCCACCGGAACCAGCTCTCCCGATTCCGCGGGGAACCCGTCAAGCTTCAGTAACAAACGGTCCGGCGTCCAGCTCGTCCCACATCCAGCAGCCACCGCGAGCATTGATTGGCCGCCTGACGTGAACCAATCAGATAAATTCTTGAAAATGACAAGATTCTGGTCGTGGCGGCCAAAAGCCGCCGTGAAGTGGCAGAAGGGCGTTAAGAGTTTACCGCCTGGCCAACTGGACAAGTTGGACAAGAATGTCAAAAACTTGAAAAGAGAAAAGACAGCTCTGAAAGTCCTGCCGAAGAAATCCGCGCACAGTAGCAATGGATCTTCGCTGGACGCTATATCCGGAAACAATGATAAAAAGTTGCGACCCTTGGGAGTTTCCGGCAACGGCAGGAGTAACCCACTGGTCCAAATGACCGCTACGGATGGCCATGACAACGACAATCCCAATTCCAGATATCGAAATTTAAACCTTAGAGGCAGCGGGGTCGGTGCATTGAGCGAAACTCTCCAAACCTTGTCCAAGAACGACACGGCTGCTCGCCTGGGGGTCGTGAGGGAGAGCTCCAATCTTCACCGACTCCCCGAACATTTCTCAAACAGCGATCACGATACCGGAAAGAGCAACGCAACCCCGCGGTTGACCAACCCGGCGAGAAAAGCAGTCGGGAACCGGGGTCTCACAACCCAGCAGCCAAGGTTTCGACCCAGGCTCAACCGACTCGGCGACGCGAGGTCCGACATGGATAACGAACTGAAAGCGTTGGGGAAGAGGTCGAACCAAAGGACAGCAGCAGCCGGCAACGACCCTGACGTGCCACGCGTCCAGTTCATGGACCTCAATGATCTGAACACCATGTTCGGTCACGGAACGCGGCCAGTGGTCGCCGGCAACAAGCTAAAATCTCAGAAAGATGACTTTCGAACGATAGGATTAGGCTTGTCCGGCAAATCCTCCGACTCCAAGTCTGTGATATAAACAGTTCTCTTACTCGTGCAAATAGTTACGTATTCATTTCAAAAAAAGTAAAAATAATAATAAATAAATAAATAATAACAATCAGATGCTTGTTACAAACATTTTAAGATTGTTCACGACTGCTTCTGAAATGGCATTGCTGCTTGAGCAGCTTTAAAATACCCTCAAGTCATAATCTGTGATATAAACAGTTCCATTACCAGTGCAGATAAATAATCATTCCTTTTTAAACAACTATGAATAATAATTCCTCGAACATTCGCAGTAGTTTAGACTACTGCTTTAGAAATGGCATCAGTGGTTGGGCCGCTGGGATGGGCCTGTAAGTTAAAATACCCAGTGCAACCGAACAGTGGTGGTTTCAAAGCGAAACGGTCAAGAGCGGAAAAGAGAAGAAATGAAAAAAAAAAATGTAGGATGGCTTTAAAAAATGTTTTTTTTGGTGTTTTTTTTAATTGCCAGCTCATTATTTATACGTTTATGTACAACAGTCCATAGATGTTATATTTATGGTCGCCCCCCACCCCACCATTCCCCCGTGTATAGTTACGCCATTCTGCTTACGAGCAAGTTTTAGGAACATTATTTTGTTGATGCTATTGGATTACTACGGACTGCTACTTTTATATATAGCTGTTAAATTGTGATCTTTCATGCGTTATTGTGTTTTACCCCCCACCCCCGAACACCCCCCCCCCTTTCTTTTTCCAGTAAAACACCATTTCATTATCCGTCCTTTAAAATATTTATCTTTTCAAAATATCACAAAATGTTTTGTTAATTTCTGTTTTTAAGTTACCTAACTAAAAGTATATTTTTTTATATTTACTAAAACTAAACGTTTTTTAATAGTTCATAAACTATTTTTATGGTTACTAAAATATTTTGTATAGCTTCTAAAATATTTGTATGCTTAGCAAAATTATTTTTGTATAGTAACTAAAACTACTTGTTATGGTTACTTAAATAAATTGTTTAGCTACTAAAATATTTGTATAGTTACTAAAAATAATATTTTATGGTTATGCAAACTTTTTTTTGTGTATGTATAGTTTCTAAAATATGTTTCTCTAAGAAGAGGGCAAGTGGGTGGCCTACTAGTTTGAAGTACACACTGCCAACCCAATCTGTTTTTTTAAAGAAAAGACTCGTTCATATTAGCTTTGGCACTGCCCTAGAATCAGATTACATAACACTCGTCCCTTGTTAGCATAACGTGTGGCCGGGGGGGGGGGGGAAATCAAAATTAAAATATTTTTTATTACAAAAAAAATGTAAGAAACTTTGGGGGTTTGTTTTTTTTGGTTTTTTTTTTTTTTTTTTTTTTT